TATGCGAGGAATAAGATTATTTCTTGTGTCTGTTTAAATCTCTTGTATCGTATACTTTTAAATCAAATGAAAAATAGGAGGAGATTCTCATTTTTTGTTTTACAGAGTACCTGTTTGTTAATAAATTTACATTGTCATGATTACTTATAAAATCAGGTATTGGAATGCAACGTGCTAATTGTCACGAGTGAATAGAAGAGGATGTCCTAAACAGAGATGGCTGAAATGTGTGAAAGAAGATATACATAACGAGATGACTGCATACCGGCGTAATGTTTTTCTCATCCATTTATCCCTGATGAATTACAATAGTCTTGTGTCTACACTTATAATACTGTTGTCCACAGTCGGACCCCTCCATTATTAGCTCTCCAGATAATATAGATTTAAGTTAAGTGTAAGGTCAGTCCACGTTACGACTCCGAATTGAATGTACGCGTTACTGATAAGCAACATATAGCACACTATCAAATAAACTTACTAATGTACAATAAATAGTACAATTATTCTACCTCTATACTTACTACCTACATACTACAATAAACAAATAAATTATGTAGTCACACCTCATCATATCATATACAACACTACAGTGGTGAGGGGATAACCACCGCGCTACAGTCTGTAATCCAGTACATTAACGATTCTAATCAAAGCATGTCTAAGTGACATTAGCTGCTTCTTTCGCGCAAAAACAACGATGAATTTATCGATAGGCAGTATATCGATGCGTTTTGTATTTGTAATTCGAAATAAGACAGCTTGCTGCCGCATTTAGCGGTATAAGTACAAGAGTAATGATGCGTGAATGATTTGTAATGCTCCATGGAATCATCTGATCTATAAAATCGGTGACTGTTACGTTGAAGGTTGTTGTTGTTGTTTGTTGATGTATTGTGATTTGGGAGATGTAGGTAGTTGCATCTTCGTATTATCATAAAACAAACACGTACTATAAGGAAGCACTTGAGACTGTTTTAAAGTAAATCCCTTGCAAACTCAAATGTAATATATTTTTTTATTTATTAATCTATCTACTAGGGATATATTATATGAACCTTGAATGTTTCCTTTGTGTATTTCAGTTGCTATTAAACTCTGATTTTTATAATTAAACGATTTCGATTTATTGGATTTTGTTAAAAGAAAATTATTTTATTAACGAAATTATATATCTAATAAAAAAATATCATATTAATTCATAATATAATTATATATAATATTGTATCCTTTATAAAAAAATATTTTGATATTGAGACATACAGACGCCGACGGTGCATTTTCTAATAATTATTTAGTGATAAGTAAAATATAATACGATTTCGATATTATCGTTAGGGATATCCTGTAGGGCAACTTAATTTGCATAAGTAGTGGACAACTTTCATTTAGTGCATGCAATGTGTCACGATTCCAGTATAAGTAAAATGAGACACACTATGTTGTAATACACTAAGGCAGTTATTACGCTATCATATATAAGATTAGCTGAAATCGGTTTAACAATTCCAAAATGACTGACATAGTAAATGAAAGTGAACAAGTCTTGTACTTCCTAAGATGGAAATTTTGAAATATTGAAGGTTTTACATATTGAATTTATAGGTATATTAATTCTGAAGGACTGAATGGGAAATAGAAATAAATATTGTTATTCAAATAATCTCAATTTAAACACATTTTAATAGTCCTAATTTTTTATACTAGTTACTACTCATTCGGAAATCAGAATCTTCACAAGAAGATAACTCTTTTAAATAAATGTTCTTCAACATTACATATTTAAAATTTTGTTTGAATACAAATTGCCAAGCAGCTAAATCAACAATATAAATAAAATAATAGTTGCTTGAGGAAATAAAATAAATTATTTATAGTTATTAGACTAGTATCTACAAGTAACTGAAGTACCAGAAAGCGTTCATGAATATGATCACTGGGTTTCGGTTTGGTAATATTCAATATATTCTAACTTTACGGCAAACTCCTTCCGGGTATATAGGATTACATTAATAGGATATTAATGTAATCCTATATACCCGGATTAATAGTTTATACATTATTCATACTAATTTTGTTAGAAAAATATTATTTTTAACATGAAACGTTCGATAGCTTATTTTGTATCAGGAGTTACAACTTTCCTCACTTACAACCTTCTAAAGTCTTTATACCGTGTTACAGTGAAAGATAACATGTATATTTATAATTAAATTACATGTACGATTACACCATTTTTTTATTATAAAATCTCCTAAGAACAATAACTAAACTTACTATTATTCTAAGGTAATGTCCAATCAATAAATGAAATACATTATTTTGTCTGTATGAAACTCCTATCAATTGTTGCTATTAAGACACTTCTTTTTTTTCCTCTTCTTTTGGCTCCGGCAGTTTGTGTTGCCATTAGCCATAAAACACTTCTTAAAAACAATGTTATGCTTTTCGACAGTATTGCTGTGGAAACTTTGTCTCGATTTTCTTATTTTGTACCGACTAATTTGAACACACGATTTCTTTCACGGCAGAAATGGCATTACCTTTCGTAATGATTGTCATGTTGTTATTTTTTAAATAATCTAATTATAAACGACCGGTTTTGTAAACTGTGTTACATTTCAACGTCACCTTACATTGCTCTTATCTAGTTTACAAAGTAATATGTTTGTATAATTACGTTGAAGGTAAGCGATCTAATTACAAACAAGTCGTTTAATTTGGGCACAGGGGACAGAGGCCAGAGTGGCAGAAAATACTAATGGGACCTTTATTATGTTTTCATGAGGTGGATGTAATATCAGCACTAATACAAGATTGTTTTTAATAAAATACAGCTGATAAGGCACGAAATATTCTGTGTTATTATGTACGTTTCACTAGTTGATTGATACATAATGCTAGTTTTAGCCCTACTAATACTATAAATTGGGGAGGTTTAGTATTCTGAAGAGTGTTCAGTTGAGAGTTCAGTTACTCCTAAGTTCAAATGTTATTTAAACGTGCTTCAACGGTTCTGGATTCGAATTTCTGATGATAGGTAGACATATCTTTGATTAACGCAAAAGACACTTTTTAATTCACCCGTGCACTGCCTGGGTTTAGAATACGATTTTTTTTTGTTTCTATGCTATAGACTCTTAATCCAACATAACTCAATGACTGAAGGTTATGGGGTGACATTATTGTATATGCAACTTAGGACATTGTTACACGAATTTAGTATAAATAATAATCTTTCTTCAGTCTATAAAGAAATTTTAATAATTAATTAATTAAATACAGTGTAGAATGTGCACATATGTACTTATGTACATATATTTAAAAATTCAAGTAGAGTGCAGAAACAATGTTTGAAAAGACTACCTTATTAAATAGATTTAAAATGTTTGCGCATCGTATACATGCCTGCAAGTTGCTAAGTGTATTTACCGTCCAGGTTTTCAATACTGGTCGGATAAAATGTGTTTTCAATGATATTGTAAAATATCTATAGTAATTTATATCCCATGTAACGGTTGTTCTGTATTCAAGCCCAGATTGACATAGTTCGCTTTATTCTGGTTAAAAATTGTTCTATATTCTCAATATCTATATCTTTCGTTTTGCACGCCAGAACCCTTACAAGATAAGCAGAGTTTTAATCCTTACATAAAACTTTTGCTTAATTGCGATTTCGGAGACGCCAGACTTCTCCATCACACAAGACCCGATTAATCTAATTATTAATCTGATGGTAAGCCTAGACCTCCCCTAGAACTTACATTTATCCACTTTCGCAATAGTAGCTCTATCTGTTTTATTAGTTTTACATCCGACATCCTTTCGTATGTCGAAACCAATGTAGCATTCCCTTTCTCATTCCTACACCGACACTTTCTTTCAAGCTATCTCACCAACTTTTGTATTACGAATCCGGTCAACCATAATTCTGCGTATTTATTCTTTCATTCTCATTTTTATATACCCATCTCTAGCTACCATATAATAGAGTGGAGATGACTATGGAGTTGTAAATCGCCATCTATGCAATTTGTTAAAGTTATAGCTGCCAAAACTTTTGCGAATAATTCCGTTTATTTCATGTACTTACTTTTCTCTATATATAAAGTTAATGCTTCAATAACTTTTTTTTTATTAAAGAAACAAATCTAGTTATAGAGTTAGGAGTGACAACGTAAAAAAATATACCTACACAATTTAAAATAAGATTATTTCCTATTAAAGGAACTTTAAATGGGGATTTTTTCTACTTCAAAATTCTCGAAATTCTTTGAAAGTTTTAGTGTTTTGTCTTTAGCTAATAGAGTGGGCTAAGTCACTTAATATTTAATGTACCCATAACGTCATCCATTCTGTTTATTAAAATCCATCTATGTAGTTGTTTACACACTACACTTTACGTCGCTTCAATGATCTGAACATACATAAACACAGAAACATTAACTATTATTCTTAGCTGTGCAAAAGTGACTGTTTCTAAAAAACCTAAGTCTACAAGTATTGTTGCTTAATGATTTACTTAAAAAGTATGCTTAACAATTCGAATTTTTATGACGGTAAAATTTTGGTCGATAGTGGTTAATTTTGCCGTCACTGGAAAATGCCGTTATCAAATCTAATGAATCAGAAAGAACGGTGACTAGTTCTAGTCAACACTTGATTAAAATATGCTAGGCACGTTTCAACACAGCCATAAGGTATTACATGGTTGTAATTACATGGGACATGACTGACAAATAAACCTATAGTACAGAATGCGTAATACCTACTCTTATATGTGTCCCGAATGGCATGGAAACGACAAGTCAAAATGTTTTTATTGTTAATAAAATTAAACGGCATTATGTTTTTTGTGTCTGACAGTTATTGAAGTAAGTATACCTGTATATGTACCGGTATTTTTATGAATTATGATGAAATGGGAACTTTTTTTAGCGGATGATAATGGAATGATGCACCCGCCTGCACTAACGGTTTACGCTGTCGGGGCACCAGTGGACATTATAGGATGAATATGAGGTCGGTTAGTTAGCACATCGTGACAAATTCACCAGGAATATATCACAATAGTTTCCAGGAGGAACCGCGTGGAGGTCAACCTGTCCTATGATGTACTAAATGTACCCTACATTGCTAGCAATGGGGTCATCAATCCACTTTACTAACAATCACCTTTCCCCCCTGGAATGGTGACTGTGTGTGTCAATGGTGCACACGTATCTACATAACTTTTCTTTACGTTTCGCTTTTTACTGGGATAGCTGTAAAGTGTATGGGCCAAGTTGAAAGGCATACTCATGAAACTGAACCATATTCACTAAGAAAAAAAGTGGAAATCTGTTTTTTTTACATTTCTGTAAAGTTTTAACTTGATAATTCACTGGCTTTCGATTTAATATACTTTTTACGCCCAACCCTGTATAGTAGATATATTACATAAACTTCGAGTCTATTAACCATTTACAGTCTCGTAATACTGAAATATATATGTATAAAGTATTCACCGTTTAAAATGTTAATCTAGAAAGTGTACCTGTGTGACATTTTATATTGTTGCCTAAGCCGTATATGTCAGACGTTAGACCGCAAGGTGTGTAGCTTTCAAAGTAAAACCACTATAGGTATACTCTAAAAATAGTTGCTTTTACCTTTTTACATACTAATGCGAGGGAGGCGACCCCATTTAATGCATTAATATGTTGATAACATCATGGAAGTTAGAATTAGTGACAGCATATTAAAAAGGACGCGAAGTGGGAAGGTAGATTCCAAATTAAATGCACCATTATAAGTATACCGTCATATTAAAGGAGAATGAGCTGTGTGTGTATAAAAATAAAGGACATGTCGATTGCAGAAATATTGTTACTATTATCTCTGCCTGCATACCATAGTTCCCGTCGTATTGTCTCACCACAAAATTGTGTCTGATTCCGCATTATGATATGCATGTGTTTGATGTCGAATATCTGCATGTAGGTTTTTGATTCGAGCCTTGTTACGTTAAAATTACCACATTTTGAGGCCTAAAATTACGTATACAGATAATATTATGTTAGTAGTTTAGTTTTCAAAATCGAGTTACTGTTGGTTCTCGACATGCTCTAAGCACTTGAATTAAAAATAAAATATCAAATAACCATTTCAATTTCTCAATGAAATAGTCGGAGATCAATCTCAAAACTATTTATTTTATTCGTAATATAAAAATGATTAAAATCGACGAAGATGGCGCAGAAAAATATCTAATTACAATACGTTGTCATTAGATTGTTGTAATAAACAAAAATTCATTTATGAATATAGACATATACTTAATATTCGACGGATTGTTTCGACTCCAACAGTTGCAATACGCCTGAATAGACGCTTAAAATTATGTAGGTATTAACTACAGTCAGAATAGAAAATACGTATTTGTAAGTTTGTTAATAAATTGCAAATTTAGAGGCATCACGAAGAAATGCGTAAAGGGAAAATTATTGTTTATTAAATTTGAGTCTAGTTGACAACAATGGAATCTGTGTCATGATTCGCAACACTTGACACCCAACTGAAAAATATCGTAAATATGAAAGCGATAAACGGGTTTTATAGATAGTAATACAAACGTACAATGGGTTGCACTTTTTCCCTATATAACAGTGAATGAGATCGTGATGTTCGTATCTATTTACGATATAATCTTAAAAAAATGTCCCGTAATTGGTATAAATGTGTGACATCCACCTGTAATATAGGTCGAAGTTTGCATTCGTCACAATCCTTACTAATATTATAAATGTGAAAGTAGTAGTGTCTCTCTGTTGTGATTTCACGCCAAAACTACTACTATAGTACTTTAAATGGAATTTGGTACACAGATATTCCCTGACAGACCCTGAGAAGAGACAATGGCTAATTTTCAATGCGAAATAAAGGTTGTAAGGGGTTGAAAGGGGAGATGAAAGGTTGTATCGTCATTTTCAAAGTTTGTAAACTATTTTACTCTTAAGTTTGTACTAAGATTCGTCATTTTAACACTTTTTCTTTTGATTTTTTGGTTAGATTATTGACTAGTTTATTCCACGTGGAGGAAGTCGTGGGCACATTTGATTATTAAAATAAATATACATAGTTTTGTATTTCGTAACATTCTAAATTATACGCGATAACAATACATTATTCATAGGTATTTTGCATCCATTATTTTAACACTCTTTTATTATAGTTACTTGAACTTGCTTGAATTTTGAATCGATAATATAATATTTTAGGATTATTTAAATAAACTGAAAAAAAGCGACTTGATGAACTGTTGAATTTCTTACGGCATTCTTAAAACGCTAATAAAAAGCTACGATATACAATGCAAAATGGTATATTGTAGCTTTTGTTAGCAGTAATCCATCGATACGTGAAAGTACGCACTTGTTATAAATACTGTTATAAAGTATACTGCGACTTGCGACGACTTGATTAATTAACTTCTTTTTTTAATCTGAATATATTAATGAAACCAGGTTACTTCACTTTCTATTTAGTTCTTTTTTATCTTATCAGTAAATAAATCTGTTAGTGAATAATGTGCGCTATTCAATGTATTGAACAACAGAAGTAAAATTTATGATATAAATAATTAGTCATTACTTTATTAAATACATTACATATGTTATTTATTAGACAAGTTTAGTGTTTTTATTACTTTTAGTATATGGCTGCATATAAGCAATAGGGTCATCAGTCCATATTACTAACAATCGTCTATATCTTCCCTAATTCAGATACTGTCGTAGCACATTTTAAATCGATGCATTACATAGAAGTAATTAAGGAGTAAATTAAACTTTCTACACATTAGCATTCCGAGTACTCCTCATAAAATTACACAATTGAGCAAAAGTACTTCTTTGCAAGAATGAGCTCCATATGACATTTTCAAGCCAAACACGTACTATAGGCGGGCTAATAAAGTTATGCATGAATTGTGACCCAGTGTAAAGTTGAATTTTATTATACAACATGAAATTATATCTTTTTGATGTATAGTGAACTACTTATTTAAATAAGCCGCAGCGAAATAAATATAAAGAAATATATTCTTAGTGGATCCATCAAAAGATATAAGTTTATTATTAGTTTAAACTTAATTTTTGTTACCCTCGATCGACTTTCACGAGTTCCTTCTCATCCCATTATTATCCACTAGTGCCTCGCCAGTCTTTACAGTTATACACTAGACCATTACAAATAAAAAAAAAGTAATAGAAAATATCATTTACATTTCTTCTACTAGTTCTACTTCATTTCGTTCTTTAGTCTATACGTATATGTTACTATGTTAAGATTGATATTTTCATTTGTGCCCGTAGAAATTAGCGAAGTGGCGATAATTACATCAAACAATTATCACAAGTTGAAACAAACGCGTCAAGCGTTGTTATGTATTTCAAGGTCATCTCTATAATTTAGAAATATATTTTCGTATAATTATTTTGCACAAAATAACAATATGCTTAGCTGGTTAATTAAACTTTTTTTACCGCTGACGTTACGATGAGGTTAAAGAAGCAAGGACTTAGAAGTCGTGGTAACGATCACTTCCTAGATATAACCAACTTATCCTCTTTCCAATATCTTTCCTGTTATTCACAAAAACGCTAGAAATTGGAATAAAATATTGTAGACTCTTAACATTTCTGCCATATTTTTCGAACTATTTTTATAATCTGCATAATCTGAAAGAACATTACAAAATGCATTCTCACTGAATGCATACATGATAGAAGTGTTTGTATATTATTACGTAATGAGTGCCGTGACATCACAACAAGTAATGGATAAAAGTGTGACAATATGACGACTATCACGTAAACATATCCTTATAAGCTGTTACTGTTATATGACCAATCTATTTCAAATACATGAAAGCATATAAAATAATGAATCCATAAGGTTCAGTTGACTTTTAAATGTATTTAAAATTATATTTACCAATAAACATAAAATAATAAATTTTCCAATAATAACATTTTTATTACAGTAGATGTGATAAAATTTATATGGACACAGGACATTTATTGATTGAAAAGTCAGTGCAGATTATCTTTTTCATGGAATGTATACGTCATGTATATGACATTTTTCTTTCTTATTAATATCCTCTATTATATCTTATCGTTTATTTTAATTATTTATACGTATAATTAGTAAAAATCAAGGCATCTTAGTAGTTTAATTTTCAATATATAGAGATATATAGTAATAATATATAATCTTTCAATTACCTAAAATTAATTACATTAATAATTACATTAATACATTCAATAAAAAAAAAACAGAAAATAAAACCTATTTTATTTTAATTCTTATTAATACATCTCGTAAGCAGATGAAATCCCAGGTAAACAAGTTATAACAATCAAACCCAAGTTGCATTTGACACTATTAATTTTGCAAACTGACTGGGTATCGGAAGTTAAATCAAATAATAAGTTATTTATTGTTTATCAACGTCAAGCGGGTCATGTTCCGTTATTTCCGTCGATGGAAATGCCTTTCACTGAAATATCAGAATTAAGGTTTATTTTTGGACTAGTTTTTGAACTAAAGGAAGTACTCAGCTTAACTGTATTTTGTTAATCAATAAAAAAGTCAAAATTGTTCTTGGATAACGAATATTACAGTTTGATGGATTAATTTGGGATAGTAGACAAATCAAAATTTATAATATAATACATATATGTACAAAAGATAATGAAATAAAGTTTCAATTTGGTTGTTATAAACTAACGGTCTTTTCATTATTTAAAAAAGATAAAGAGATGTTATATATCAAAGTTCACAAAAATATGGATTATTAATGAAAATAATAATTATTTCAATTGATTGCGTTATGTAAGATTTTGATAACCGCGTTGGATTTATGCAATTCGAAGAAAGTCCAAAAGTAAACGAGAGTAAATATTTAATGTGATGTCGGATGATACAGATTCTTATCTCTTATCGTAACAGATAACGGTATCTGA